GAATTTTGATCGTTATTTCAATACTTCCTTTTATGGTATTTTACAGAAAGTTTAAGCAGTTTAAAAAACATAAACCTATATCATAAAGTTAAGACAGGGCCGTACTAAAAAGGTTATCTTTAAATCCCTTAATATTTTCTACATAAATACTACATTCTTGTTTTATTACTCTCACAAATTATGGTGTTAATAGTCGCAAAAAATGTGGAATAGCACTACCAGAGACAGTTAGTTCTGAAATAGCATTTATGTACAGGAATTTATTAAAAAAATACTTAGTGAATTAACTGTTAATTTTTTTACAAAAATGGGCTAATGTGGAAATGTAAATCATGGACGCCTAAATCCTACATTGCAGTTCCTCTCAAACAAATACTACACATGGTGTATGCCAAGAAAATACAAGTAAAAAACAAAAATTTACAGATAACCGATATCTGTATCAATACAATTGAGTATTTTTACAGTGGATTGACCAAATGCACAAGGTTATACGCTAAAGATTCAAAACCGGTAGACTCGCCTGATCCTTGGAGCTCTTCTTAAATTTACTAAGCTGAGATAATTAGATAGTTTGCCTGATAGTTGCTCCGCACAAGGTAGAACAAAACCTCCTCTCCTTAACCTCAACACCATTCACAAACCACGTAACAACAATAACCAACCACTCAAACAACAACACAAACACATAAAGACATGCAACCATCAACGATCTTCTCTTACGCTAACGTTGTTGCAGAATTTTTACCCAAAAGCATCTAAACTATTCCAATCCAACAAACTTAACCAACCACTACCACAAACGCATCCAAGAATTATATGATTATATGATCTACAGTATCCTAACGCTATTAACCAAGCTTCGCTTCAAAAGAAAGTCAGAAAAACAATGGAGGTGAAATCCCAAAATCAACGTCATCATAAAGCGTAAACAAAACAGAAACGTACAAGCTACAAGAGCTTCTACATCTTGCTACATGGTAGATCTATAAGGTGTGGTCAAAAACTACTCCGAAGCTAAAATCAAATTACCACTAGAATATATCGGCATCTTCATAATTAAGAATATACTGCCAGAAAGGGTACTCTATTTTGGAGTGCTCTTAGTTCAGATGATCTGCTTACGATCTTGACCACAAATCCTCCACCTATCCTACACCCTAACAATCAAAATGTCCAAATTGCAGTAGTGAGCAGACATCATAGATGCAGGAAGAAAACTCTTAAAATCCGTAAGAAAGTAGAACCTATCTTTACAGAAAAAAGTACCATTTCTTATGGACTTTTATCATTAGAAAACTGACCGAATTTACCAGTCTAGTTCTAATCAACCAACAAAAAAGACTGCGGTAATTTAACCAATCTCTGGGCTCACTCGTCAAAACAAAATACAACCGTTTTTTGGTATAAATCAAGAAATAGATCATGTTGGAAGTGAATCCAATAAATGGCTAATAAGGTCACTTCCAGATTGGATCACCGAGATAGTGACGCATTCTGGAGAAAAATCATAACTGAGTAAAAGACACCAAACCCACCTCATCTACTTATAAACAATTAAAATTTCAGTTTAGACGAACGAAAGGCACAAGCCTTCAAAATGCATCTCTAAGACATCTTTGTTATAAAAAAGCGACCCACGTTTTGACCTGATTTTTAAGAAACTATTGTGAGATCAATCCAAGAACACTCGACGCCATCCGCCAAGCACAAAAATTTCATGGAAATCCACATCACAAAAAACGTAAATGGAAAAAAAATCTCCCTAATCATTTTTCTTGCTGTGATCAGAAAGCCGTTGATTGAATCTGACATGCAGGAATATTAAAAGAACTACTAAACATTGACCTGCCCATCTCTTTTGTCAAATTCCTTTACTTATATCTCTCTGAGAGGAGTATAGTGGTCGAAGTAAACAATTATTATCACTCAACGCCGTTTACTCTTAATGCAGGAGTACCGCAAGGTTTCATTCTTTCACCTACACTATATCCAATATATAACAGTGACTTTCCTAACCTCCTTTCATCACGAGATACATATGTCAATGAAAGGTTTACTGAAACTCGTCTGAACTATGTTGATAGCTGCTGCAGTAGATGGACAGTGACACGTAATCCACAGTGACAGTGACAGTGACGGGACAGTGACACACAGCAAGGAGGAAAAATAATTGATTTCATACTTCACTTTACTTCACAGAAAGCAACCTTAAATAGGTTAAAAAGAAGAGTAAACTTCCTCCTCCAACGCTTTATGAGGATAATTCGAATAACCTCTAATTGGGTAAAGTAAACATATACTTTCTAACCAATCTAGACCTCACATGAAGCATCTTTTCTTTAAAAAGGAGTATTTTACGTAAAGCAAATTACAAATGCAGAAAATTTCCCGTAAACACAAATACGTCAACTAACAAACATCCAAACCATCTTTGAGTGGCTTTCCTCTCTGAGCCAGAGTTACACTCAAAATACCATCCGTGGCCAAAATATCTAGCCTAAAACACCTCAAAAATTTCTTCTTATCTTTTGGCAACATAATCAACCTAAAGAGGAACACTTCTCGGCCAAATTGCTGACCCTGGTAAATAAATGGACACTCTTCACTTTTTTACTGTCTTCAGATAAACTTTAAAACTTCTTAAGTTTTGCACCCAGACAGAGAGAGACCGCTTTGTTGCTAATCAAATTGCTGACTAATAAATGGGCACTTTGAAGGAAATTTGACTTTTTTGCTGCCTTTATATAAACAGAACACTTAAAACTTTGCGCACTGGCATGAAGAGTTTGCTTTGTTACAGTTTCTCTTCAACGCGTTCAGGCAAAAGCAGTAGAAGCAGTAAATTCAGTCATAAAAGAAAACATCTAAAAAAGAACCGTTTGTTTTTGTCAGTTTTATTCTAATCCCCATACCTTCTTTTCTCTGCTCTTGATGACTTCTTCAGATGGTTCTAGGATCAACCGCCACTAGTGGTAGAACAAATGAAATACCAGTGTCCTCTGTCCAAAATAACCCCTGAAGACGTAAAATGGTTTGCCTAAACAAGACACCATCAGACAAACACCAGCACCAGCAGCAAACACCAAAGACAAAAGAAAACAATGATCCATTCATATGCTAAAATTTTTAAAATTGCTTCTAATTTATTTCTGGAACAGCTATTTTCATATATTTCAGCCAGCTTAACATCGTTTGTTTAAAGACGCAAAGGGGTGTCTATTTTTTGTTATTTAAATCAGATGGTGCTACGTAGCAATGCGACTAATGTAAATGGGAGGTTTGCTTAAGAACCTGTTTTTCTCTATCCCAGTCTATCTTTGCTTCAGACTCAACCGAATAAGTTCTCAATGTCTTAGACTAAATATGTCATGTCGAAGTATCAACGAAGACTCGTGAATGCCTGTCTTCCTTGCATGAACGCCTGAAGCAGTTAGGTTTTTTTATTTTAATATATTGTATTTCGTCTGTTATAGTTCTGTATAACGTTTATGTATTACTTAAACGAAATAATTCCGATTTGTATGTTTTTTCGAATAACCCAGAAGTCTGTTTAATACTGATTGCCCTGTATCTATCCTTTCTATATTTCCTTAAGATTCTAGTAAGTAGGAGCGTTGATTGAATATCCTAATCTGGATCCGAATACGGACCGAATCCGAATTCTCTGTTCACCTACCCCAATCTTTAACCAACACTTGAATAGTATTAGAGTAATATAGCTTTGGTATATTCCTCTAAATCATGTATCTATTGGTACATTTTTATTATTCTTCAGGTTTTTAAATTATTTTTTTTTAATTACGAAAATATTTCATGTTGTTAACTGTAGAACTTTTAAAAGTGGATCCAAAACCAGTACTAATTTGAAAATTTCTCAGCGTATTCAAACTTTCTGGAATTTACTGAATAAATTTTTTGTAAGCATAAAACTTGATCTTGCGTCATGAGCTATGAGCTGTAAATTTTGAAAGAGGAAGGGCAAATGTTATAAATCAGGAGCCGTAACTTAATTAATTTTCTGATATACTAAGTTATAAATGTTGTATTGTCTACAGGGTGGTCAACTCTGTAGATGAATTCAATAGATAAAAAAAATATTTCAACATTTACGAATAAATAATGGAAACAGCCACTTTTTTTGTGCCTTTGTACGGAATGAGTTTCCCTCATTACATTTATCCATAAGTTTTTATCTTAGAGCATCCCAATATTAATTCCTTTTAGGTTTTGAGACAAACGCATTTAATTATTATTATATCTCATAATTTTGAAGAATGTTAACCAAAGATGCACATACATGTAACAATATTTTGAAAAATATTATTTATTCATGAAAATTGTGAAAATGATGGAGTTGATTTTCCTTGTCATTTCCTTGTCATAGGGTAAAACCTTTTATAATAAAGGACAAAAAAGTTTTTATTCTTTATATTATTAAAAATAAGATATACACCAAGTTAAGTGCAGACACTAACTCAATAATAATTGTGATCACTTAAAGGAGGTCGCGCATTGGATGGGCTCAGACCGGTCGGCTCGGAACGTAATCTCGGCAATAGTCTCGGCAATCGTTGGATACAGACTTAAATTATTTTAAAAATGAGTTATCGTTCATCAGAGTCTGAAGAAGATCTTATGATTGCATTAGTGTGCAATGAAATACAAACACAGAAACCAAGGTATTGGATTCATAAAATTAATTTAAAACGAGAAACTGGGGAGTTTTATCATTTGTTTCCCGACTTACTTGAAGATGACGAAAAGTTCTTCAAGTATTTTCGAATGTCTAGTGTTAAATTTTATGAACTGGTCGAGCTATTACCACTTAGAAAGCAGGATACAAACTTTCGAAAATAAATGTCTCCTGAAGAAAGGCAGGTACTCTAAAGTAAGTATCCTAATTTTCAACTAAAATAAATAGGTAATACATAATTTACAGAAAGAAAGATCCTAAATTAAATTATAATTGATAAATATCGTAGTTTTCATTTTCTGGGCTAAAAACTAACTGTGGAGTAGGTGTTCGTGTTGGTGAAGATATATTGGATTGAACGTGCTACTGTATTCTTGTCTCGATTGATTGGGCTTAAAAGAGGTGAATAGGATACAGAAGATGATGTTATATTAGAGTCTACTAAAGGTACTTGAGGATGTACTGGATGATTATTTGTAATTTCGTTTATCATTAATTGTTTCAATTCATACTCGCTGACTAAATTCGATATTTCTGATTTAATTTCAATTTGAAGATGAGGTGAAAAAGTTCTTACAGTTTCCTGCAAAGCTTTAAAAAATTTTTGTAAATGATCTGCTTTTCTAGTGACTTTTGATGCAGCTTTTTCTTCAAAATAATTTTTCAACATTTACGCCATTTGATTCGGTGTTTGTCTCAGAGGCTTAGATGTAGAAGCCCTAAATTCTAAAGTTACTAGTGACATAACATAGTTGTCATGAGAAGGATGTTCCGAGGAACTCGTAGAATTCTCAGTATCATGATGTATGGCTGTTTCATCGTCGGAATTATTTGAATAATGCTCTTCTGGCTGGCTCTCTGAAAGATTTGATTTCTGTTCTCTTTCTCAGTAAAAGGAGATTATAAAAGACATGATATCTTCATACTTCCACTTTTTTATTGTAGTATTCCCTTGACCACTGACTGTTTTTCTGATTTTAATTGTTTTACGGTAAGCATCTCTAAGCGCTGTCTACCTTTTTTTGCAAGCTGGAACTATAAAATGTCTACATTAATTATTTTATATCTATAATATATACCTACATTCTTATTCTAAAACTTATAAGGGTATTTCCTTATCACTGGAAGACTCTGCAGTTATTCTTTATTACTAATTAATATATTTTCCTATTTGTAGGTTTTTGGGCTATGGCGATTCAATTTCTAAAATAAGTTTTAGTTATAAATTAGAAGAAACAACAGTAAGAGAAATAATCTATGATACATGTAACAAAATATGGACTACTCTTGCACCGTTAGTTATGCCCACCCCGACTTTAGAACAGTGGCGAAAAATAGAAGAAGCATTCCGTACAAAATGGAACTATCCTAACTGTGTTGGGACAATACATGGCAAACATGTGGTATTTTAAAAACCCCCAAATTCAGGTTTTCTTTTCCACAATTATAAAAAGGAGTTTAGCATCGTTTTACTAGGCTTAGTGGATCCACAATACAGATTTATCTTTGTAGAAGTTGGTTCATTTGGCCAAAATAGTGCTGGGGGATACTCCGTTCATCACAGCTTGGGGAAAAACTGCTTATAAATGAATTAAATTTACCTACAGATAAAGCGTTGCCTCAAACAGATATTGTTTTACTCCATGTAATTGTCGAGGACGAAGTATTCCCCTTATTTCCTACTGTAATGAGGTCGTATCTAGGAAACCAAGTAAGCAATAATGAAGAAAACAGAATATATAATTATCGCCACTGCAGGGCTAGACGTGTAAGTGAAAACGCATTTGGAATTATGACGAGAAAAATCCGAATTTTTTTTAAAAAGTTTAATATTTCATCCGACCACATAGATACAATTACTTGACCTTTTACTGCATTTCACAACTTTTTAACGAACGATTCTTGTGCTTGGCAACCTGAAGAACTTGAGGATGAGGAGGTGCCTAAAGATCTTGATAATATAGTTTATATTAGTGGTAATTTTCATCGAGAAGCTTTTAATATCAGGGAAAAATTTAAACAATATTTTGCATCCAATTGCAATATTTTGCAATCAAGAATGGTGGTCGGAGAATATGCAAACTTTGGTCAACAAGAAGAAAACTGCTTATCAGAAATGGATGTCAACGAGAAAGGATGAAGATTACAAGATATATCAAAAATTAAATCGAGATGTAAAAAGAGAAGTAATGAAAAGTAAAAAATCAGATGTGGGATCGAAGATGTGCAGATGTGGATAGGTATATGGGTGGAACAAGAGTTGGGCAAGCTTGGAAGGTGATAAAGTCTCTCCGGAGGATAGGAAAGGAAAAATCTAACTTACAGTTAATAGATCTGAAACAGTGGAAACACCATTATGAGGTTTTACTGTGTAACATGGATGCATAATAAACATCCCGCACACACATTAAGTTCAAATCCAGAATCGCTCAAGGTCAAGTGTATAGAAATTAAATAATAAAGGATGAATAAAGGCTTTTATTATTATTATTATTATTATTATTAATATCTTAAAAATCCAAACACAATCAGACAATTCGAAATTATAATTTATTATTGGACGCCATCCCTTGTTTATCCTCATAGGGGACGAGAGAGAATAAAAAAAATAAGATATATAAAAAATTTACAGCGAAATTACACTTTATTATTTCTCAGTAATAAAAAGAAACATTAAAAGTTATGTTATTTCCAAAGGATACTAAAATACCATTTCATAATTACATTACTATAAACAAAACAAGTTTATATCTTTTTAAATCAAGAATTGGTTGATAAAAACAAATGAATTTATATATTATTCCCAAATTTCGAAATTCGTTTACATTTAAAATATTATAGTAGTTATTTATTAACTAGGCATAATAGAAAAGTTAAATCTTTAAACAAAATTTAAAACACTGCTATATTTTCTTTCTCTGAGTCCATAATTTTTCTCGCTTTCTCGATAGGGTATAATAAAAAAAGAAAAGGTACAACCTTAATCGTCCATTAGCTGGCAACCATACACAAAGGATATGTTCTGCTTCCTCTCAACCTTCAAGCATTTCGTTAAATTAGTTATTAGGGGTCCATTTTTTTAGATCATAGGGGATTATTGGGCTACGTTTACGACAGTATAAGACTTCTCAGTTAACTTCGAGTCAAATAAACATAATTAAAGATCTTTTATTGTCCCCGGTAAAAGAGAGTCTCTATATAGAAACCACTTCACAAAAACACGTCCTAACAGTTGGATGTTTGTAAGAGAAAAGAGACAGACGCTATAAATTCCCGGTTTAAATTGGGGCGTGATTGACAAGTTAATAATCGTTCTCATCTATCGGATAGGTTTAGAATTACAGTAGAAATCTTGAGTCGGCTACAAGTACCCGGCAGATAAATGGGGTTAGCAGTTTTATTTAAAAAAAAAATAATCGAATTTAAAATGAATTTCCTAAAACTTTTGAAACGGTTACAACTGACAGAGGATAGATCTAAATTCCAAGAGATCAAAATGGAAGAAATATCCGAACACACACAAATAAGTGAGATAACAATCGGAGAGTTAAAAGATGCCCTCAAAAGATCAAAAAACGATAAAGCAGCAGGACCTGGAGACATCCCAATTGAGTTAATAAAGTATGGACCAAAAGTATTACATGAGATGTTGGTTCAACTATTTAACAAATGCTTAAAAGGACAAAATATCCCTGATGATTGGAATATTGGATACATCAGCCCAATCTTCAAGAAAGGGGATAAACGCAAATGCTCTAATTATAGGGGAATAACTGTTATCAGTTCAGTGGGGAGGTTGTACGGTCGAATAATAAAAAAAAGAATAGAATCAGAATACGAAGACGTAGAAGAACAAAATGGATTTTGTGCAGGAAGATCGTGCACTGATGGTATATTCGTTCTGTAGCAGGTAATCGAAAAACGGAAGGCAAGGAATCTATCTACCCACCTATTGTTTGTAGATTAAGAGAAGGCATACGATACGGTTCCTTTGAAAAAACTGTTTCAAACATTGACGAAAGTAGGTCTTAGTAGAGAGTATGTGGATGCTATCGCAAATATATACAAAAATGCAAGAAGTGTCGTTAAAGAAGGAAACTTTATATCTGAATCGTTTCCAATAACAAAGGGGCTTAAACAAGGATGTTGTCTATCTCCAACCTTATTTAAAATATATATTCAATTGTCGCTAGAGCAGTGGAGGAAACAAGTATCCGGAATGGGAATAGACATAGACGATGGTAAATGTCTAACAACTTTATTTTTCGCAGATGATCAGGTAGTCGTAGCGAATGATGAGGAAGACATGAGGCCTTAATATGAATATGTCAAAGACAGAGTGTCTTAAAATAGGAGATGATGAAGAAGATCCAGAATTATAAATTAGAAACACAAAATCATGCAAGGAATATAAATATCTCGGATCTATAATATCTAAAGAAGGCACTACCAAAAGAGACATCGAAAGCAGAACGCAGAAGGGAAAAAATCGGTTAACATTCTAAACTCTATGGTCGATATAGTAGAGAGTTTAGAGAGACAAGAGACAAGATATTAAACAAGACACGAAATTGCATTCTATCGAACCTTGGTAGAGCCTATTATGACTTATGGGGCAGTTATTAAGTTTGGCAGATTACGAAAAAAGATAGAAAAAGAATAGAAGTATAGGAAATGGATTTTCTAAGGAGAGCGTGAGGTGTATCCAAAAAAGATCATATCAGGAATAAAGATATTAGAAGGAGGACAAATGCTGTATATTCCAGTGTAGACAGAATTGAAACGAGACAACTAATGTGGTATGGTCACGTGAAGCGAATGAATGAAGATAGATGGCCACAGAAAGCTTTAAATTACATACCATAACAAAGAAGAAGAAGGGGAAGACCTTCAGTTGCCTGGGAAGAAAATGTACGGCACATAATGAGAGACAGAAGGACAGAAAACGATGGCGGTCGAAATGCGAGAGGCGGCAGAGGCTGTAGGAACCTCGCTTATATATATATATATATATATATATATATATATATATATATATATATATATATATATATATATATATATTGCAATATTGCTCCAATCAAGGAAGTGTGGCATGGCAACGTGAAAAAATATATGCTGGAAGATAACGTATTGAAAAAACTGTCTTTAATATTATAATATCTCATTTTTTTAAATGTATGCAAAATCTGCCGATTGATCTACCCGAGCCAACCTAATGCGCGCCCTCCTTAAGTCGTCTTCTGTATTATTGTCCTCAATAGCTAGTTCAAGTATGACATATGCTACCAGCTTTGACGTGAGAAACAGAATATGAAAGATAAATACTCTAATAGTAAAGTTATCAGAGAACAAATCAATTTAATAGCCTACTGAAAGAGCAAATGCTACTTCGAATACGAATTAATCAAACCATTCAATGCATCCAACATGTCTTCTTGGTTGTTATATAATCACAGTTATTATAAATGAAGTATAGTTTAGCCGTAAAATTAACACCTCTGTAATTAAAACGTTTATACCACCTAATAAATCCCAATTTTATTAGACAAGCGCAAGTATATTAATAAGTTGAGTGTCAGCGTAATGTTCATTATACAATATCGAGAGCCACGAGGAATTTCAATATCGACGGAAGTTCAACCGCCTGCCTGGGGTGAAATAGTTCGT